AAACGGTCGATGGTTTGTTGCTGCTCCTGCAACTGTCTCTGAAGTTGCGCTACTAATCCTGCCAAATCCTGCTCGTGATTGTTTGCTTGCTCATTGTTGCTACCAACTGGACGACCACGAGTTCTCCTCATTTTCTTAAGGCACCTAAATATGAACTTTTATTTATGTACCATACACAATACAAAAGGCAAAACATTCTCACTTCTGTTCTCTATCTAATAAGACTCTTCTTGCTCAAGCATAGAAATTTAAAACTAACTTTAAATACTTACTTGGAAGATGATGAGCACGTGTACGGTGACAAATGAAGTTACGGGACAACCTGGGTTCTGATACCAAATTTGTAACGCCCCTCTCAGGGTTAAAGGAAACGTTACACAAACTTACTACTAATAAAAAAACTGCAATATAACGGCCGTTTGTTTAAGAAATAACCCTGATAAAAACTCAAATATAACTAAAATATAACTCCAAATAAAAACTCAAAAAAATCTAGTTATCACCAGCAAATGTGATAACCACCTGGATCCAGGAATTTACTAAAACTTCAAATCCTCAAATAAAATGAAGTAACAGTAATCAGTTTATTATAACATCTGAAATACTTAAATAAAATAATAACTAGCTAGAAGTCGCCAAGGTCGTTCCCGTTAACTCATCTTGGCACGCTTTCCACTCCCTCATCATCTTCCTAGGCCTTGGTCTTTCCCTTAGTATCTGTACATGCGAAGAAAGAAAACTGATAAGTTTTACGCTTAGTAAGTCACTATGAATCCACAAAATATCTGAGAAGTCTATGCTAATTTATCAATAGATAATTTAGGCTATAAGCGTGCACTAAACAAACAACTAACAAATAGCTTCTCAAAATAAATTCTAAGAGAGATTCTAAAAAAATATTTTCTAAAATAATTTCTCAAAACTACTGGAGAGATCTCAAAATTTCTTTCTCAAAACACCTCTGTAAAACTTTCTGGAAGAGATCTCGAAAGCAACTTTCTGTAAAACCTTCTGAAAGGGAATCTCATAGACTTTCTGTAAAACTCTTAGTGGCTAATTTTAACTGTGGGCCCGTGATATGTACTCAAAGGCGCCAATCCGACAGTTCAGGGGAGCGACCCACTAAACATATCGGACTCTCTGAAACTGATAAACTGATAATCTAAGGGAACTTGTTCCCGAGTACATATCACATGATCTTTCACTTTAAATATTAGTTCTTTTTATAGTGACGTTTGGGTAAAAACATCATTAAAATCTTGAAATAAAGTACTGACACAATCTTGACTATGCCAAATAATAAACATAACTTAATACAACAATTACAATAACTCAACAAATAATTCACCAAGCTCACATAATAGCAAATAGTCTAAAATCATCTACTAAAAATCAACCAGACTTCTTTCTTTCATTTGGTTGAACAAACATGTACAGGTGGTAGTGAACTTACCTGTAAGGAGCTGAACTCGAAATACGCAAATAAATGTGGCACCTTGATAACGTCTTCCGGTAAGCTCTTCTCTTATATCTTTAATTAAATGAATTTATGAAATAAGAATCTACCAAATATGAAAAATGGCCCTATTACTGAAATCTATGTGTCTACTGGGTATACTAAACCTTAGGACTTAATTTCTCTTGCTACTATGAATAACTAAAAATAGAAGATGGATTGGCTTATCAAACCAAATTACAGTACCACGTACTGAGTGTACAATTATTTTGACATTTTGACAAACCAATGAAATTCTTTTCATATCAGCTCAATTTGGTATTTACGGAGCTTTTAAACTAAAAAGAAAACAACTTTTCAGTTCAGTGATTCTGTAAAACTTTAACATTCAAATTTAACTCAATTCATTCAAACAAAGGTTACACTTACAATTTGATACAAGAAGAACGAAAGGTTTAACAGTTCCTATTAAAGAAAACTAATGAGATTCTAGCCAATGGTTTCAGCATCAAAACCAAAGATTAAACAAAAAATTGAATTCTGCCAAGTTTGAAACTCAAGAAGTCAAATCCGTTACTCCCAAAATATATAACTAAGAGCAAAATCATAGCAACAACACTTGTCCAGCCGAAATAGTCTCCCGTTTCAACGAAAATTTAACATCACAAAAGTAAAATCATTTATCATCCAAATCCAACCAGAAAATATTATTCTTTAGTTACTAAAATATCTCAGTAACCAATAATTAAACTCACGATTGCAAAGAAGACTTGGAAAATAAAACATACCAGGCAGGATGCGGTGATATAAGGAAGAGATGGGCTTCAACAACAAGGTTGAATGGAAAACTTTCGGATGAAGAGAATACCAGGATCGACTGCTATGGGCGGAGAGGTCAGCGAGGTCAATGTTCGGTAGTAGATTAGGCGCAGGCTTAATGTAACACCCCCTCCCCGTAGGCCACGAGGTAGTTACTCCAGACCTCTAGTACTGTCCTCACAAACCGCCACTAGCCTTTTCCGCGCACTTTGTCCTCACTCGTGCGCGCCCTGAGAAACTTCCCAGGGGGTCACCCATCCCAAGACTACTCCCGTGCAAGCACGCTTAACTTTGGAGTTCTTGGGTGATGAGCTCCCTTAAAAGGAGATGCACCTCTGTTGGTATGAGTAGTACTATTAATCCGTTTAAATTAAATCTCAAGTGTTACAATCACCCCCACTTAGGAACGCAACGTCCTCGTTGCGCCCATAAACCAATCTCAAATTTCAATCAAATCCCATGATCCTCCCCCGCTAAGTGCCCGCCCGATATCCAACGGGTCAACACACTGTCGCAGGGTTGCTCTGATACCATTTGTAACACCCCGTCCCCGTAGGCCACGAGGTAGTTACTCCAGACCTCTAGTACTGTCCTCACAAACCGCCACTAGCCTTTTCCGCGCACTTTGTCCTCACTCGTGCGCGCCCTGAGAAACTTCCCAGGGGGTCACCCATCCCAAGACTACTCCCGTGCAAGCACGCTTAACTTTGGAGTTCTTGGGTGATGAGCTCCCTTAAAAGGAGATGCACCTCTGTTGGTATGAGTAGTACTATTAATCCGTTTAAATTAAATCTCAAGTGTTACACTTAAGAATCGATAGATATACTTATATTAGGTAATTCTCTAGGCTTCTCGTTTGTTTTTTTGTTTTTAAAGACAATTTAATCGGGCCAAGACCATAACTTGATCTCTTATCATCATTAAAGTAAAATTTTTCAGCCCAAGCTAAAATAAAATAAAATAAAATAAAATAATGTTCTCCCATTCTAAAAAGACTAATAAACTGATTAAGCTTTAAAGCATTACTTATTTCCTTCACTTAAAATTATTAGAGCTTACCGATCAACGTTACCTGCCAGAAAAACACGTGATCCCACGATAAATCACATTAGTCATAGAAGGAACTTATTTAACTGATTAAAATAAATAAAATTTATTAATATAACTAGCACATAAAAAAAATCGGGGTGTTACAGCAGTTACAAAGAGAGAGAAACCAGAAAATGAAGAGGTACAGAGATGAGGAGAGAGGTCGGGGAGAAAAGAGGTTTAGAGCGAACCCACCTACACAACAACAAGAACGGACGGAGAGGAGAGATGACCAAAGCGGAAGAAATTTCCGTGGTCAAAACCAGCAAAACGATCAGAGAGCTGCTCCTAGAGATAAGCACTTCTACTGCAAGAAGTGCGGGAGAGATCACCCTGCGGTTAACTGCGATGGGAGCCTAACCAAATGCTTCAATTGCGAGAAACTAGGGCACCGATCTTTCGAGTGTCTATGAAAGACCAATGGGGCACCATTGAACCAGGTGCAATATCATGATGGAAACCAAACCGGGCCAAATGGCGGTCAAAACAACAACAATGCCGCCGTCATCAAAGACAACTGCAACCCTCGAGGAGGAGCGGAGAATAATCGCGGTCACGGTAATGGCAGTAACCAAGGACATGACGGGAACAATGGCAATGGCGGAAATAACGGCAACCATCCAAACCAAGGGCGAATCATGGTAAAGAACCAAGTCCAAGCCAATGTTAATTAGGTGGTCTCAGGTACATTCCTTGTAAATTCTGAGCCTGCTTATGTTCTATTTGATTCTGGTGCTTCTCACAGTTTCATGTCTTCTAATTTCGTTAAGAGATTAAAGATTGAACCAACAGCTAGAATAGACTTGAATGTAAGAACTGTCTCAGATAAATTTGTAACTTGTGGAAATGTATACTCCAACATTTCCGTACTCATATGTGAGTCCAATCTACCTGGAGACTTAATCCAATTTGACTTAGAAGATATAGACGTAGTACTAGGCATGGACTGGTTGGGGAAGTACAAATCTAGGTTCCTATGTGATGAAGACAAGGTGATCTTTAAGGGTCCAAATGGGAAGAGAATATCTTACAAATCAATCACAACCAAGCCCAGTATGAAGCTGATGACTATGCGACAATTACGATAACATATTCGAAAGGGGTATGAAACCTACTTGTGTTTGATGAAAGAGGTGAATATAGAAGAGCCAAACATTGACCAAATTGTTGTAGTCAACGAATTTCCAGACGTATTTCCGGAAGAGATTCCGGGAATGCCGCCCAAGAGAGAAGTTGAATTATCAATTGAGTTGATGCCCGGAACTGCACCAATTTCAAAAGCACCTTACCGAAAATATGGAGACATTACCTATACGGAGCACAATGTATGATATACACTGACTACAAAAGCTTGAAGTACATATTCACTCAAAAAGAGCTTAACATGAGGCAAACAAGATGGCTCCAACTTCTAAGTGATTACGACCTGGAAATCCAATACCACGAGGGAAAAGCTAATGTGGTGGCGGATGCTTTGAGCCGGAAATCTGAGCACTCATGCCGAGCAACATGGATATTACCAGAAGAACTGTTCCGAGACTTTCAAAGATTGAACTTGGAAGTAAAACAATATGGCGAAGTAGATAGTGAAATACAGTTATGTACTATGACCGTTACACCATCTATCTTCGAGGAGATCAAGAATGGGCAACCGGGAGATGTGAAGCTCGAGAGAATCAAGGAAAGAATGAAAGATGGGGTCAATGGACCATTCAGGACACATGAAGATGAAAGCATCCGATATAAGGGAAGGTGGTGTGTTCCGCTGAAGTGTGCAGATATTAAAAGACAAATCATGGAGGAGGGACACAACACTCCCTACTAAGTACATTCCGGGGGAGACAAACTATACAAAGACCTCAAAAAGAACTTTTGGTGGCCGGGAATGAAGAGAGAAGTAGCTGAATTCATATCCCGGTGTTTGAATTGCCAAAAAGTCAAAGCAGAGAGATGCAAACCCAAGGAACTTGTGCAACCCTTGGAAGTACCTAAATGGAAGTGGGATTCCATCTCAATGGATTTTGTTGGAGTATTACCCTTAACTAAATCCGGAAAAGATAAGATTTGGGTAATCATTGACCGATTAACCAAAACTGCAAGATTCATTGCCATGAATGAAACTTGGAGCATGGACAAGGTGGCCAAAGCCTATGTCAAATACGTGGTCAAACACCACGGAGTACCTCAAGACATCGTATCGGATCGAGATTCACAATTCTTATCTCAATTCTGGAAGGAATTACAAACGGCTATGGGGACAAAATTGAAGTTAAGTACTGCTTTCCATCCAACCACGGACGGACAAACCGAAAGAACGATCCAAACATTAGAAGACATGTTGAGGGCATGTGTTCTTGAATTGCAAGGATCATGGGATGAACACCTAGACTTAATAGAGTTTTCGTACAATAACAGTTACCATGCTAGCATCGGAATGGCCCCGTACGAAGCTCTATACGGTCAAAAGTGTAGAAGTCCCTTATGTTGGGGTGAAATAGTCGATCAGGTGGTTCTAGGACCACAATACTTGCAAGATACCATAGAGAAAGTCAAAGTCATCCAAGAGAGGATGAAGGCTGCCCAAGACCGACAGAAGTCATATGCCGATCTTGGGAGGAAGCCAGCTGAATTCGAGATAGGGGACAAAGTTCTACTCAAAGTCTCTCCTACAAGGGGAGTAATGAGGTTTGGGAAGAAAGGGAAACTAAGCCCGAGGTTCATCGGACCCTACGACATCCTAGAGAAGGTGGGAAACGTGGCATATCGATTAGCTCTACCCACAGAGTTGGATAAGGTAACAAACAATTTTAAAACTAGATACTTTTCAACGATTAGAATTCATCCTTAACATACAGACTTGTGTTAGGTACATAACGTCTTTCACGTATCACAATTAAAGAAGTACGTTCGAGATGAGTCACATATCATCAATCTGGAGGTAAGAGACCATAAACTTAACACGAACGAAAGTAAATTGAAAATAGTATAAGTTAACCCTTATATTATTAGGTGATTGAAATGGATGAGACACTATGCTATGAAGAAAAACCCGTAGAGATCCTTGATACTAAAACCCGAGAGACGAGGAAGAAGAAAGTTAAGTTGGTAAAAGTACTTTGGTCAAACCATTTGACCGAGAATGCAACATGGGAGACAGAAGAGGATATGCGTAAACGGTATCCTGAACTGTTCAACTAAGGTAAATATTGGGTTACGAGGACGTAACCTTTCTTTTAGGGGGGGCATGTTGTAACATCTTATAAACCTGTAATACTTCATCTTCATACTTAATTCTCGTCTTAGTTTATACTTCGAGGATGAAGCATTCTTTAAGGGGGGTAGAATGTGATACCTTGAAAATTTGAAATAAATATAAATAAATAAATAAATAAATAAATAAATGAGATAAGTTATATCTGATAAATCAAATGAAAGTAATATCAAAATATTTTGTATTATACTTGGTGTATAAAAATATATGCACACTACATGCAATAGAATTAAACACTTATGTGGCATCGGAAAAATAAAATAAAAATAAAATGGAAATAATTCAGATAAAATATAGATGACGGAATAAACAAATAAATAAATAAAAATAGTAAGAATATTAAAAATTACTAATAATAGCATCGAATTAATAAATGAAAATATCAGATCATAAAACAATGACACATGCTAGGATCACCTACCAAATAATGTATATACATTATGTACATATATTTACATATATAATTATATATACTTATATGTAAAAATTAAAATAAAATAAAATAAAATAAAATAAAACATCAATATAAATGGGAATCAAATCATGAATCAATACACATGCCATGTTCATCAACTATCAACCTATCATAGACATTATTATTATTATTATTAGTAGTATTATTTTTTTTCATACAATTATCATATAAATAAAATAAACCATAAGGACCATCTAGACCTATAAATACACCCTCTTAGCCATCCCAAACACTGCAAATCGGAGAGATAGAAGCTACATATACATATACATATACATATACATATACATATACATATACATATACATATACATATACATATACATATACATAATCTCGCCGGAAAATTTATATCTATATTATTTTACGTATCAAACTTCGTAAAAACGATAGAGGAGGGTCGTGAGAGGTATAGGAATACTTCCCAATAAATTCCAGACCGATTCGTAGCCACCGGAGTTGCTTAGACGTCGCCGGAGTGTCAAGCCGTGCAAACGGGTCTTCAGCAAAAGCGGACATTTGGCCGTAGATAGGGGTGGAGGAGCTTCGTCTCGACGTGAGGATCATTTTGCAACTTGAATCGTCGAAAATCATTACCTATAAGTAAAGTTATTGCTCTGTTGAAGATATTTTAATTGTGAATCAAGTTTGTCATAGATTAACTTTATTATTATTCCTTGTATTAAACTAGTGCATGTATTAGATAGAATAGTGGGCCAAGTGTCAGGCCCATATAAACAGGCTAAAAGCCTTTCTCGCCTAACCTGAACCTCGCCTATAAAAAGGGAGCCGAGGGTTCAGGATTAGGTTAACGTCGTACTTGTTCATTATAGCCTTAAGTGCATATCTTTCTGTGTACGAGTTCACGGTCTATCAAAGAGGGTTTTACATCGATTCATCTGTGTTCATCTTTACGTTTAATCTTCTTTGTTAGACTGCTATTCATTGCTGTTACAGAAACAGGGACTATCAATTTGTATCAGAGCCGATCGAGAGCCGATCAGAAGAACGCCTGCAGAAGACTCTGTTTTTTTCTTTACGTTGTTCTTTCTGTCGATATTTTACTCTGTAATCTTGTTTCTTGTTAAAAAGTTGTAAAAGTTACACCCTTAGAATCGTCGTTTCAAAGCGATCAAGGGGTATACTTCATATTTCGTTTTTCGCAAATTCTGTACTTGAGATATTTCGAATAGGCTTGTCGACATCTAGGTTTTAAGCAGGTTCTGCCAGGTATTTTGAGCTGAAAACTTTACCTGAGGATCTCGACATCCTACTCTACAAGAAACTACCTTCAGATTTTGCTTATCTGATTTTTACAGATTGCAGGATTTCGACATTGAGGATTTCGACATCTATATCTCGAGATCAAAGATTTCGAGTTTAAGGTTTCGACATCTGGTCTCGACATTTGACTTCTCGAAATAAGATTCCGAGTTTTAACTTCTCGACATTTCAAATCTCGAGATCCTCTTCTCGAAATTTGAAATCTCGAGATCCTTAATCTCGACATCCCAATCTCGACCTCAAATCTCGAAACCGGGCCTCCTCTATCGAAATCTCAGATCTCGATATTCAGATCTCGACATCTGATTTTTCGACATTCTGCCTCTAAAAATCTTTTGATCAATTATCTCGAACGGTCAGTTTTATACGGCAATGGCCTCAGAATTTAATGTGCAAGCGAACAGCAGTACTCCTCCCAGTCTCAGGAAAGGAGAATACCAAATGTGGAGGAATCGATTCCTTAATTTCCTTGAACACAAATAGAACTCCGCTCCGATGCTTGAATCGTTGCTTGAAGGACCAGCTGAACTCATGATTTCAGTCGGAGGTGATCCAGAAAACAACCCTCCTATTCTTCCAGAAATAAGAAGGAAAGTGGCATCTGAATATACGGAAGCTGAAAGGCTCAGGCTTCGAGGAGATCTCATGGCCAAAACGTACCTCCTTCAAGCAATCCCTAACGAAGTATACGTTCTCATCGATAGCATGAAAACAGCTAAGGAAATGTGGAATGAGATAGAAAAACTGCTCCAAGGCACAAGCATTAGCCTTAAAACCAAGAAGACTACAATTCTTATTGCTTATGACTCCTTCAAAGCAGGCCCGGGAGAACCTTTGAACGAGACTTACAACAGACTCGTCCAACTGATCAATGAACTTAGAAAAATCAAAGTATTCAGGTCCAACTTGGAACTGAATATTAGATTTCTATCCAGCCTGCATCCTGCATGGGAAAAGACAGTGAAGGATGTCAGATCTCGCATTGACTTGGATGAAATTGACCTCTGCACTCTATATGAACATCTGAAGCAATTTGTCAATGAGGTTGCTTGTGCCGAGGATCATCACATTACAAATGCCCTGGCTCTTGTGATGGAAGCTCAGCCCAGAAAAACAACCACACCACTGAAGAAGAAAAAGAAGAAGGTGGTGGTTGAATCAGACGATGATGAAAGTGATGATGACAAATCTGATCTGGAGGCTGAGCTTGCAGGCTTACAAAAGAAAATGGCACAGCTTGCCAAGAGATTTGCAAAGAAGAACAGCTCCTCCAACAAGCTGAGAACCTCCTCATCTAACTACAAACAGAAGAACCATGAACAAGGATCTTCTAGAAAGGCGCCATCAGCTGAAGATGCTCCAAAATGCTACAATTGTGGAAAGGCTGGACATGTCATCAAAGACTGCCGCCTCCCAAAGAAGAAGGATGCAAACTTCTACAAGCAGAAGATGCTGTGGAATAAGCAGAAAATGTTGATGGTGCAGAAAGAAGAAGAAACTTCTGCAATGATTGCTGAGAATGATAACTGGGCAGAAGATACTTCTGATGAGGAGGAGGAAGAAGAAAACTATGCCCTGATGGCACGAGTAGAGGAAGATGAAATAAAGGGTGATGCTGCGATCCCCGAAAGTGAATGCTCAACAAGCTCTGTAAGTACCTCTCATACTCCTTTAA